GGACCGGGCCCCGCTCGCCCCGAGGCTTTTCCCGCCTCCGGGCCGGCTGCGTCCCGGCCCCGCGGTTCATTCACCGGTCCCTTTGGAGCGAGCGGCTGCCGGGCGGAGGCGTGAGACTGGGGGTGGGTGGGTGGGGCCGTTTGGGTCTTGCTCTCATGAATAAAACGCTTTAAAAAGCTAAAGTACCTCACAAAGCATCCACCCTTCGGCACGTGCCGTCTTGAATCCGTGGGTAGGGTGAGGCCAGCTCAGGGCACTAAGGGGTCCAGCTTTGGTTTGGCGAGGTCAGGTTTCAGAACCTGGTGTATGAATGGGGGAGGGTCACCTTCGGAGAAGCTACTGCAGGATGTCGGGGAGGCTGGCATGGAAATGGCTGGGTGAGGGGGGAAGCTGAAACTTCTCTCCCCTCCCCAATGAACATTATGTCTGAACATTTTATGAACTCTTGTCTTTTGAAAGAAATCTACTTTTATAGTGAAGACTTCCGAAAATCTGCATTTGAACATGAAGCTATTCTACTACTTAAAAAAAAGTAAATGTTTTTCTATCATGAAAAATAAATCAGTAGCTACCAGAAATGAGTCTCTAAGAAGCATTGCACCCATTAAATAGTGCTAGGGAAATCTCACAATTGTACTACTCATTTAAAAGTTCTATTGCGCTTCTGCAATGTGCTCTGGGTGCATTAGGACAGGCTATAAAATCAGAACATGGATTTGGCCTTCCAGTCCTGGCATTGCCACTTTCTAGCTATATGACCTTGGGCATGTCACTTAACCTTTCTGTGCCTGTTTTCCTATTAGTGAAATTGAGGGAATAGCATCTACCGTGTAGGTTTATTATAAGGGATAAATAAGTTAGTATGTTTAAAGCACTTGGAAAAGGCCCTGGCACATGGAATTGACATCTAAGTATTTACTTTTATTTTGTTTTCAGACAGCTCACAGTTTAGTTAAGAAATCACATCCCATAAGCAACTTGGGTTCACTTGATAAATTTGTGTTGAACACCTATTATGTGCTAGGAGCTCAACTCAGTTTTAAGGTTGCAACAACAAAGGTTATGCTGTGATCAGTTTATGACTATCAACAATGTACTGTGATAGTTAAAAGAGAGCAGGATCTCCTCTGTCTTACCAGGAATTCTTAACCTGTGGTTCTGTGCCTTCAGAGGGTCTGTGGATAGAATTCAGGGAGTTCTTGAACTCTAATGGGAGAAAAAATAATCTTTTTTACCAGTCATTTCCTTCAGTTATGAATGTAGATAACTGTTTCAGTTATGTATTTCCAAATAACGACCTTAAAACAACAATTTATTATTTCTCACCGTCTATAGATTGGCTGGGCAGTTCTGCTGGCATCCCCCAATGATTGAATTCAGCTAGTGGCTAGACTCCAAGGTTGCTTTATTCCCCTGTCTGTGGGCCTGAAGCCCCTCAGTGTTGCTATCTTGGGCTTCCTCACATTGTTACTGGGTTCCAAGAGGGCTAGTCCCCATGTGTGAACAGCTGCTTGCATCACATTTGCTGATGTCAAAACAAGTCATATGGCCAAGCCTAGAGTCAGTATGGTGGGCACCTGCACAAGAGCATGGATATAAAGACATGTGGTTCGTTGGGAATGATTAATAAGCTACTACAGCAACAAAGTATACTAGTATTAGCAGTACCTGTCACCAATAGAAGTCAACAGGACTCATGAATGTCAGACATTTTCATATCACATTACAGTTGTTGCAGATCTCAAAATAACATGCTCATCACTGCTTCAAAATTTTAGTATAAGATTCACTATTAGATCTTTTTATTTAATGAGCAAATAAAGAAGCACATATTACTATATCAGTTTTGGGGTTTTAAAAATATTTTTGTAAGTATATTGCCATATAATTGGCATCTTACGCAATTAGAAGCATCATTTGAGAAAGGGTCTGTAGAGCTTATCAGACTGTCAAAGAGGTCTATGGAACAAAAAAGGCGAGGAACCCCTGTGGATTTCAGGGAAGGCAAATTCTGAAAGATGGAAGTTTCCTCAGGGGAAAGTCAGCAGTGGTACTCCATTGGGGGAAGTGCCAGTAGCTCATTTCTGCTGTGTCATGGGAAAGGTAACGGGAGCTGAATAGAAAAGCTCACAAGGAACCTTGGCGGACACCAAAATGTAAGAGAAAGAGGGGAGGCCAGAGCTGTTTGAGAAGCAACTTTTGATAAGCAGAAGTAGGAGCACAAGAGTGATACATAGAAAATTAAAGGAAGAAAAGTTTCAAGGACAGACTATGTTAGGATGCTTTTAGGTGGAAAAACCCAATTGCTTAAATAGTAAGGAAAATTGTCTCACAGAGTCCAGAGGAAGGGTGAACTCCTGTGGATCAACTATGTCTTCAAGGAGCCCGTCTTTTCTTGGCTTTCTGCTATAAGATTGGTTCCCCTAATGGTTGTTAAGATGACTGCCAGTAACACACGTTTGCCCATTTACTAGAGCAAGAGAGAGGACAAAACGCCCATGTTTGGATTACACTTTTACTTCAGTCTTATTGGATCACCTTAGGTCAGGTGCCTGCTGAATACCAGTGCTGGGGAAATACTTTACCCTGATTGGCTTAGACTAAACAGGATCAGCTCAAGGTGGGGTCACTTTACCTTAGTCACATGGGAAAGAAATGAATCCATGAACACAATGAGGGAATGGAGAGTGGATGTGCGCCCATGATGTCCATTACAGAAAGATGAGTTAGATGAGTTTGGAGCCGTGTTCACTGATTTGGGCAATTTGTTTGGAAAGCTTTCATGATCTTTTTTATGTAGGTTTTACTGATGGACTTGAAAGCTAGATTAATATGGGTTGGTGACTGAAAAATGAGTAAATAAATGGACACAGTGTTGGGGTTTATAAGCTTGACTGTCAAGGGGAGGAGGGAGAACATAGTAACTAGAGGGACATGTTTGGTCAAGATTCTAGAGTTGCTTTGTGGTTGTTCCAGTATTCAAGATTTGGCAGTGTTTATGGCTTAGAGAGGAATGCAGGGAGGGAACTTTTATAAAAGAGAATCCCTCAGCTTTAAAAAGGAGGAGAGATACTCCCTTCCACCTGTGAGATGGAAAGAAAAGAAGGGTGGGAGTGATTATAGACTAGTGGCTCTCAACTGGATGATACCTCCCGCCTAGGGTATGTTTTAGAAATTTGGGTGGTTCTTCACGTCTTTAGTTGTGTTAAATGTTTATATATTGAAATATAATTCTTGTAAATCTTTCCTTTTTGTTCTCCATTGTGTTCCCATCAAATCAACATACTGGTCTCTTTTTTGGGACTTATGTGTGTAAGTGGGTGATGAATTTTATTTCAAGATAGCAAAAGAATTTCTTAGAAAAATATCTATCATAAAATGGCAGTGTCAGGTCTAGTAGGTGAGAACCAGTGCTTCTCAAACTTTAATGTGCATGCAACTCTTGTTAAAATACAGATTCTGATCCAGTAGGTCTTGGGAGGGGGGCGCCTCAGAGTGTCCATTTTTTTTAACAAGCTTCTAGGTGGTTTAGATGCTACTGGTCTTTGAATAGCAAGAACTGAGGCAGATTGGTAGATGAATGGTTTCTTGTGTTTTCGAGGTGGGTGATTTTATGAGCTGGTGGTGGTAGGATTTGGAAGAGGCATTGATAAAGAACAACAAGAACAACAACAACAAACCAAATGAGAGGCTTTGAGGGCTGTGCTGAGAGCCACTAAGGGCAGCCTATCATGATTGCAGCCTGGGAGTGGGCTTGAGTAAATGGTAGGATTGATCTGGCTTTGAGAGTTATCATCTTGGGTCAACTAGGACTGGAGGGCAAAAGAATTGATAGTGTAGGCATTGATGGGAAAAGTACAATGTGTTTGACAAGTTATTTGCATATGCAGTTAAAATATTTAAACTCTAATCATTGTTTTGATTTAGTTTTTCCATCTTCAAGTCAGTAGGGGGCACTGCTGGATTACAAAACACATTGAAAATCTGCCCTGTGTTTGCATTCTGTTGCAGGAAGTAGTTTTTCCGGGTGTTGAATATTGGATACATACACCCAGTCTCCAGATTCATGTTACTAGATTTCATTCGTTACACAAATGTTTATCACAGTTCAGCTATGGGCTGGGCACTGTGTTGTACCTTGGCGGGTATAAATGAAAAGACTTGTTTCTTAGCTAGGAGAGAGTCCCCAAATTTGGCCACACGTCAGAGTTATTTGTGAGACAGTTCCCAAGGCCCTGCCCATGGGTCTGATATAGTTTTTGGTGAGGTCCAGGAACCTCTAGTTTTGAAAAAGCCCCCCAGGGTGACCGTGAAACTTGAGTTTCAGGAGCTCACAATG